TTAATCTTTGCAACCGCGACACGCGCGGGGCAACGAAGTGTGCGGGGGGAAGTACTGCGGGACGCGGAGAGAGGCGGCTGCGTCTAGTGAGACCGTTCGCTCGCAGCTCCATGAAAAGTGCTTGTATCATTACGTTTCGCTTATTCGAAATTAGCACTTACTACACTGGAATAGAGTATAATTTAGAGTTTACAACATTATTTTGCGAACAGCGGAACGCAGCTTTTGTTTGATTAGAAACTTTATCATACTACAGTAAAGTTTATTTTCGCTCTCTTGATATGTCTCAAAGCATTTTGAGTAGGCAGCCCACTCAGTGTTTGTAATTTACAGTTGATACTCCACTCACCACTCCAGCCGGCTCGTTGTGCGACTGTGTACTTCGGCTGCTGCTGCAGAGGGCGTTGTAGTTACGTCACAGCCACGCGAGATTGCCTCTTTGTTATGAATTTGTAATATTTTAAAAGCTTTCGTAACAAAACTTAAACGTAATGCCCATACACCTGCCCCCGTGTTCTCTAACAAAATAGGCGTCTTTTGTTTATATACTCTAGTAGTCTTGAGATTGTTGTGGTTTCGTCTATCCGCTGCTAAAATTAAAGTCAACAGCAATTTATTAACAAGAAAAAGTAATTGTTTTGAACATCAACTTTGAATTTAAGAGTTTGAATAAAACATGTGCTGTCCAATTACTCTTCAATGTATAATACAAAAATAATGCTGTTAAAATCGGGGACATTGGCCCATTCAAGAGGATAATAGGGATCCCACCTAAAATTGTCAAAATTATTCTGTAACTCACTGTAACCCATATTTTTTGCTGCTTGCTTGCTTGCTGATACCGATACCGACAAACACATATTGCTTACTCCTTACTCAGCCCCGAAAAATGAAAAATTTTTTTGCGCTACACCATTTGTTAAGATGGAACAACAGATGGCGCTTTTTTAAAAACTCTAAGGAAGTGATAAACATGATGAATAATGATGATTTCGAGACTACTAGTACTAGACTAGTTTTATCAGAGCTGGTTAAAATCCATTTTTTTTATGATTCAATTTAATTTAATTACTATTTTACATGATTTATCAGTAGATTATTGAAGAATACCTAAGGTCCAGACTTGCTTTTAGAATATGAATTAAAATTGTGTTGCAAATAAAAACATGGTAGTTAAATTATTGATTAACTTATAATCTCTTAATACATTTGATTAATTAATTTTCCTTTTAATTTATATTATTATTTATAATCTGTCCTCGGACACAGGCCAAAAAAGGCAATAAAGGCTTTATTATTATCATTATATTATTTATAATCTGTAGATAAATCTCTGTCTCTCATCTCTGACTTCTATAGAAATGGACAGGTTGCCACCTGGAAATGATAGTTTTTACCAGTTTTTACATCGGTCCGACTTAAAAGCGCATGGTAATTGCTGTTAATGCTACTAACAAATAATTACTTATTTCTATTATACCAGTTAGTATACTCACCACCGATTAACATACCAACCAAAGTTAGCTGTCAGCACATTGTCGAAAATCAAATACCACATTGGCACAAAAATCACAGAATATAGCCTATCTATGAATAGAGGTCAAGGAATTTACAGAGTTGTTTGACTGAACTGAGTTGTCATATTTCTCAATGTCAAACTTTGCATTGGTGCTTACAGCATACTTCAAGTTTTTGTCGATTTTGCTTAATATCTAGATTGAATTTCTCATGATCTGAGTTCAACCAATCGCTACTGACGTACATACAATATATCAGCCTTTGAAAGGTTGTAAGTCTCAAAGTAAGTTCTCAAAAATAATTCATCACTTGTACTTGGCGTAGTAAAATAAAGTTGTCTTTGCTTAATAATTTTATATTATCTCTGTTTAAACTCATGTTACAGAGTTTGATGGATCCGTGGGGCTGCGAAGTTGTAAGCGAGTCAAAAGTATCGGCATTTGAGGATAATTTCAAGCCCTCTGAAGGTTTCGAGAAACTGTCAGATTCCGCTGAATATCTCGCTATTTTAGGTATAAAATATTAGATAATAGAGTTGTTTAGATTTAGGTGATAAACAAGGGTTATCAAGGTTCAAATACAATGTGTTAATTATTACTTTGAGTGTATGGTTTGTTCAGTGTGTACCTCGTTTTGTTAGTTTAAACTACACTTTTATAGTTTTCATAAGTTAGTAAATTTTTCAAATGACATAGTTAATATACTCATTATGGTTTTCTAACTTCTTCACAATGAAAAAAATCTAGACAATTTACAATCCACTTTACATAATAATGTTAAATAACAATTTCTCTAATTTAATTCTTGTGATAGTTTATTTTGTATAGTTTTCAAACTCTTTTTAATAAAACTAATGCATTGCTTTAATTCTAGTATTACTTCTTTTTTAATTTGTTCAACATTAATAGACATTATAAAAAAAAAATCATTCATGTAACAATTTTTATTGATATTTTCCAGAAAGGAAACTGAAGGCTGTCAGATCAAAGAATAAAGTTGTTGAGAACTTATCTGCCTACAGAGCTGACTGTCTCAATCGTCTGCTGCGTGAAGGCTGTGATCTGGATCCAGTCATCGGAGACACCGACGAAGAGAAACTGCTTCAGGAGTAATTAAATTAGTTAAATAATATTGTAAGTAAAAATGGCATCCTCATCTTGTAGTATTGATCTGTCGGGGCCCACTTATTGCATCGTATCAGGTGCTTCCCAAGGTATAGGTCGTGCGATTGCCGCTGAAGTAGCGAAGCTATTAGGCCCGAAGTCACTTATGTTGCTTTTAGCACGTAAAGCGGACGAATTGGCTAAAACTGCTTCTATGTGTCAATCTGATAACGTAAAAGCTATCTATAAATCAATTGATTTGGGTAAAGCAACAACTAAAGAAATGAATGATGTTATTGTAAATTCTCTCGAAGGTTACAAAGTGAATGATTTTGCAACTTGTCTAATTTTCCACAATGTTGGATCTTTGGGCAATCTGGCTATAGAGACTTCACGGATTGAAGACTCTAATGAACTTGCAGAATATTACGATCTAAATGTGTTTAAAGTTATATCTTTGAATACTCAGTTTTTAAAGATTTTTGAGTCCGTTGAGGATAGAATTATTATTGTGAATGTAACATCTTTGTGCGCTATCAAGCCAATGAGTGGTATGGCTTATTACTGCAGCGGTAAAGCCGCTAGAGAGATGTATTTTAAAGTACTGGCTGAAGAGAAAAAGCACATTAAAGTGTTGAATTACTCCCCGGGACCGGTGGAGACATCTATGATTGATTATGTGCTAACGGAAGCAGTTAATGACAACTTAAGGGATGTGTTTACGTCATTTAAAAATCAAGGTGTATTACTAAAACCTGATATGACTGCTCGGAAATGTATGAAAGTTCTCCAAGCTGGGAAGTTTACTCCCGGAGAGCATGTCGATTATTTTGACGATGAATGAATATATTAACAACTGCCAATTTTTTATTGTAGTGGCATTAAATGTTAGTAAATGCAACTTATAGAATCTCTATATCCTGTTTAGTAGCTTAGAAGTTGTCTTTAAATGTACTAAAAAACTACAATGTATACTTTAATGCTTTATGTGTTTCACATTACATTTTTACATTCCTATAAAAATTACTTTAGGCTTATAAAAATATGGAAACTCTTTGTATACTGAAATCTTTAATGCTGGTTATGTAGAAAAAAAAATAGTACACTACTAATAAATTGCCATTCAAGCAGTTCAAGAATCCCTATTTAATATTTTTCATATATTCTATTCTATACTAATTAATTTTGAATAAGAATGTGCATTTTAATTACTTTTATATATCTAAGAAAAATACATATTCCAACAAAAATGTTTTCTTCTTTTTTTAATTCTCACAACTACAGATTAAAAATAGATATTATTTTAAAATATCAGTTTCCGGACTGTTTTCGATTTGACAGCTATGATGTCACAACATGGCGCATTTTATGCACATTCTTATTTTATTTACTGCACATTTATGAATGCAATTCATATTTACAATAAAAACTTGCAAATCAATTGTGTTTTGTTTTTAATAACCCCCTAAATATTAAACCCACTAATATGAGTTACATTCATACAATGTCCAAACATACATATTTCGACCTTCACCTTTTTTATCTAATCAAGTACTAGTCTTCACTATTTCTATTTAGTTAGAAGTACACAATGATATATATTTGCGAGTCAGTGAAACTAAATTTGACTAAATACAAAATAGCTAAGGGACATTAAAAAGAATTATTAAAAAATATGCTGTGATTGCTAACAGCACATAGTAAACACATACTACTTCGTTGCGTAGGATGTCAGCAATCACAGCATATTTTAAAATAAAAAGCCCTACACTAACACTCTTTAGGTTATATATTTACAAGCTATTAAAAGGGGTAAATACATTGGAAAAAACCTTTATGTGGGACCATAAACTACATGCTACCAACATCAAGGGAGCAAGATTGCCATGATTCGGTCATTGGTACCCAATGTATGCCTTCGTTTGAATTTGAACTTTGCGATTGAGAATTGGACGGAATTTGAAGGAATCCGCACAGGAACAGTTAGTCTATACTTCTATACTATCTATTAGTATTGAAATAACTCAAAAACTACTGGGCTGATTTTAAAAATTCTTTCCCCATTAGAAAGGCAATTTATCTATGAGTAACATAACTAATGTCGGGGAATTAATAAACAGCATATTTCTGGATCACGGCGTTAAAATAACAGTATATTTTAACGTTTCTAATTTTTTTTATAAGAGCTAAGCAAACGACCTGCGGGATCTATCAATGGATATTGTTTTATAGTGATGATGAGCGGCAGGAAGAGCCTCTTCATGTTCCTGATGCGGCTGGCGTGGCGCTGCCGGTACAGCATGCCGCTGCTGCTGAGCGGCACCGTGGCGCTGCTCGGACACGCCTGGATGTTCCAGATACGCGTCCACACGGTGCATCGTCTGCATGAGAACGAGGTAACTATGTGCCGGAAACCCCATTTTAGTCCCACCCTTTTTTATAAGGAAGGAATGGGAAGGTAAAGTGGATTTGACGGTCGAGGAGACGCCTAGAGAAGGGATATCCTCTTAATGTCGCGTCTCCTTCTTCGAAGACTAAGTAGGGAATGCATCAGTAGTTGTGGATGTCTATGGGCAGCGGTCTTCGCCTTTTATAGCGAAACTCACCACCAGTTAAAGTCTTTGTAGCTCACAACGTGGATCCTAAATCCCCTAAAGCTTAGTAATTTACACAATATATAAGTAATATTTTAAAAGTTGTTATATTACAATTTTTTATTATTTTCTTTGAACTGAAAGTACTAAATTTTAAGTGAAATTAACACTGTACATTAGTGAAAACCGCATCCAAATCCGTTTAGCCGGTTTTAAGATTAGGGCCCACAAACATACAGATATCTGACAGACAAATGGAGTATATACTTCGTTATACGAACACACATTGTCCCCAGCTTGCGTATTACGACGAGCTGGGTGAACAGGACGAGGAGGGCTCGTGGGAGACTGACTCCACGGAATCCTGGGAGACAATCGTCGAAGAGGTGGCTTACGGCTGATCACAAATCACACCACAAAGTCCTTGCTATCTTCATGGTAGAACGTGCCAAATATATTTATAAGTATACTCATATTAATCTGTATTAACTTGTATTACTGGGTATTAGATTACGATCTTTATAAATAGATAGGTCATTGCTTGGATGACTTTTGCTTCGACTTTATATGCCTGGCGTCTTGACAAATAAATCTATCTCTGTTAGTTTGAATCACCACTAAAATGATGAATATCAAGTAGGCATCGAATACTTCTAATAGCCTGTCTATTTGTAGTGGTCAGTGGTTGCTAAGGAGTTTGTTTTATGTCAAAAAATTGACTAGCGTTATTGTAATAAATGATAGCTTATAATTGACGATTCGAGTAGTTTGTAACTGCAAATCACTTTTTAACTGACCAATTCTATTTATTTAGTTATAAAAAGGTTGGATTTATGTTTTCCTGGATTTCTTACACTTTTTGTATTTTTAACGAGAAGTAATTTATGGTGGTGAGTAGAAGCGAATATAAAAAAAAATCTGCTTTTACTTAGGCTTTTGTTTTAATTTAAATGTTATATGAAACCGCCTTTAACAAATATAAATTGTCGTAATTTGTGATACACAAACTGAAAATAAGTAGTTGATAATTATTTCTTAGTTCTAAAGATTCCATTTTAAGTTTTTAGTTTTTAACTTGGGCTGTGTTATTAATAAAAAATAAAGGTTGTATATGTGTTTTCTTTAATTAACATTGTACATAACTACAATTAGGAAATGGATGTCGCCAGAAGGGCCAAAAGAGAGAACCTTCCTTCCCTCCCGCCAGAAATTTGAAAAGTATTGAAAGATATTAAAAACGACTTCGAATAAGAGCATATTATTAGTTACCTCCCATTCTAAACCTAGCCTAGGTCACGAAATAGCAGCGATTAGAGAGGATACCTCACCCTGACAAACAAAATTAAAGTTTATGTATCTCTTGATAAGACATGTATTTCGATGATGGTGATTTTAAAGATGGCGGCCACTGCCACTGCTGTTATTGGTACAAAACGTTATTAACTCATTCTACAGAAAAACTGCAATTATCAACAACGTCAATTTTATTTACAGTACTTTTACATTTGTTAATTTCTGTTTTGCTTTCTTTTTACAAATCTCAATTAACCTTGAACTTACACTATATTGATTGTTTTGACAGTAGTTTGACGTTTGATTTGACAATCTTAGTGATGCGCTTATTGTAGTGATGTACCCTTCTATTAAGTACGGCATTTACCTTCATAATTCGATTGTTTATACACATGGTTTATCAAACTAATTCACCTTTATTAGACAAACTATATTACCATATATTATTTATTTTTTTCCTTTGTCCGGAGGTGGCAGTGGTTTATTAAACTTCAAGTAGAGCCCGACGAGTTGCTCGAGGAATAGGAAAAGGAGAACAGTTTGTGGCCCGAGCCTAGTGTACGTCGGCACGAAGCCAGACCATAGTTTAGAGGACCTTCGTTCTTGATTATTTTGAAAAGCACTTTTACCTGACTGGTGGGCACCGATGCGTTTTGAACCCTATAATAAAGAATTATTTGAAATTAGTGAGATCAGGCACATACTACCTACAAATTAGTTACCTTTCCGTTAATTCTAAGATTAGATTCTTTTCCTAGACATTGGGCTTCTGTCGCGAATATATCTTATCTTTTCAAACACATTTTCGACGCTACCAATACTAGTTTACTTCCTACATGGTATTCCTAGCAGTATATTTTCTACATTCGTACCTGGTCTTGACGATGTCAACGGGCAGAAAGACGATAGTGGTGATGAAGCCTGAGATCACGGCAGACGCGAAGTGCAGTCCGATGCCTTCGCCCATCGACGGCAGTAGCATCTCACGGGCCTATTGCGTACAGTGCAGAAAGTGCCGTAAAACACGATTGTATAAGCAATACGCGATACATTTTGTGTCACCAGGCAAAAGGTATAAAATTCTATTTTGCCGATAAGGTTAAAATTTTCGTCTGCATAAAGGCGTGGTATGACGTTTAATTTGAGGGTAGATTTGTTATATTCTTCAGATGAAGAATATAACGAACGTTT